ATTTTGAGTGGATTCTTCAGTTGGACTAACAGAAGAGGATCAGACCTGTTATGTCATAGAAAGGATAAACGAGGAAAAGCTTTGCCTTTGGTTTTGTTTTGAAGGTTCGGTTCATCCAAAATACATTTAGTGGTTTTTGGCTATGCCGATTGTTGTGGGTTTTGCCCAGAGTTTGAGATATGTCAGATTTTTGCCTCCATCCTTTCACAATGGAAATAAATCAAATTGCATTTAGAAAATTGCCTTTAAAGGATAATTCCGGTTTATTTAAACTTGGGCCTTATTTTCATTGCTTTAGTCATCGTTTTTAAAAGCTCTGATAATGATGTACTCACAAACGTGATCACTGAGATCTGGGAATATCGCAAGAAACACAAACAATTCAACAGTTTATCCAGATTATCTAAACCAAAACCAAACGTGAGTACACCTGAAATGTCTGTAAAGATCCCTTTTGCACAGGAAAATTGTGTGCGCTCACAACTCCAGGGAGTGTTTCATGCCACATTTCACTTATTTATAGCAAAGTCACTGCGTTTCCAGATTCCAGCAATTAACCTTTTTGACAAACACACATGATTGCCGTACCTAAAGAATTAAAATACAAGTTGTCAGTTTCCATAGTTTAATGTAGTTCTGATGATGTCTGTTTGCATTGAGTTGTGAGAATGATCCAGAACAAGGACACACATTTTAGAAATAGATTTCTTGCTGCTGTGCTATGGATGCATCAGTCCAGCCTTTTCTCTTCTCATCCAATACCAGTGCTCTTTTTATAAAAATGTGTAGATAACCTCGTTGTGTGGAAATCTGTGTGACTGAATGAATGTAAGTGATAGCAGATATGTCCGATTTTGTTACAACATTGAGAGATAAACTGGTAGTGACAAAAGGAACTTGAGTTGAAACAATTACTCGATTGATGGGAAGATTGGTTGATATAATCGAGAAGTAAATTGTTTAAGCCATTTTTTAAAAGCAAAAATGCCACAATTCACTGGTTTGTGGTGATCTGGCACATTGGAGCAGGTGCATCCCATACGTGTGAGACGTGTAATATTGGGGTAGAGTCACAAATCTCAAACGAATATCTCAAAACCTGAGCCAATAAAGCCCAAACTATCTATACTGATAGATTCCACTTGAGTGAGAAAATATGTTGGACCAACCCTTTAATGTGGCTCTGTGGCTGGGAGGCAAACTACTTGTGGAGGGAGGGATGTGTGTAGCCTGTGGTGACTAGAGTAGATTATCTGTGGATTCACAGCAGCGAGTCAGCGAGAGATGGATGGACGGCGTGCGAGCTGCATGCGTCTGCAAACGGTGTCACAGCACAGGGCGCCACTTTGCTTGCTCCCCCCACATAGCATGGCAGGCCACTGTCAAAGGTCTATTAGGGGAAGATTGAGACCCCAGGGTGTATATGTGTGTGTTTGTGTGTGTATGTGTGTGTTCACATGCTCATTGGTCATGGTCCCATAGTGGAAGATTGAGACCCCATTGCTCCCAGAGCCACTCAACCAACACCACCTGCAGTGGTTTACAATCAAGGGAACACTGTCCATCCATCCCTGCTGACACACACACACACACACACACACAAACTGAGAAATACACACCAACAGTACTGCTCACTATAGATGTCATTAAACAGTAGCCAAGGTGGAACAGCTGTGTGACAGCGTCATGGACACGGCGGGTGTCATGATGTTGGAACGAGCGTTTAGAGGCAGATTGAGGTGCAGGTCGGGATGCTGGGGGAGGGTGTGGCGGGAGGTGTACGAGGCTGCAGGGTGGGAATCGTGGCAGCACCTTTGACAGGCCCTATTTGTCATCTGCCAGGACACCCAAATAGCTCTGACTGCAATACGGATGGATTGTGGGAGAAAAAGTGACTACTAGCCAGGCAACTAATCCTGTACAAACCACCTCTCCAGTGCCACATATATACTCTCTTGCTCTCTCTCCTGCTCTCTTTTTTTCCCCCCAGGTCTCTGTTTCATAAGCCTACACCTTTTTCCCCCACAGAACTAGGAAGAAATCAGTATCACTATATTAATAAGTACTATTTTTATTTTTGAAATTACTTTTGGCCACTTTACTCCGGTGCTTAAGGCTCTTCATTGGCTTCTGATTGGTTTTAGAGTGCATAATAATTACTTACAGAGCCTTCTATGGTCATGCTCCCTCTTCCATCCAGGATCTAGTGCATGCACACACCTCTGGTCGCTTTCTGAGGTCTTCAGGCCAAGACCTTTCAAGTGTCCCCAGAACACGTTTTAAGACAGAAGGTCATCGTGCTTTCTGCATAGTGGCTCCAAGGCTCTGGAGTTCTCTCCCTTTAGACTTGAGTGCCTTGGATTCTGTGTAAACCTTTAGAAATCACTTAAAGACACATCTTTTTAGACCAGCTTCTATTTAGCAATACAGTTTTGTATTTTATGGTGTGTGTATATATACTGTTGTTATTTTGTTTTTATTGTAAAGCACTTTGTGACCCCTTTTGTCTGTGAAAGATTACTTACTTATTAACATTAAAGGTTAATTCCAGTTTATAAAAAGAAGTCAAACGGCATAATAAACATGAGCAGGAAGACGATCATACATGCTTTAAACAAGCAAAAAGTTTAGCCAGATTATACAGAATATTTATGATATAAAATAATAAACCTTCGTTGCACAGGAGACCTGTGTGTGTGTGTGTGTGCATAGGTCAAAGTGGAACCTGAAGGACGTCTTGTAAACTGCGGTGGCTGTTTAAAACAAGTTTTACCATTTGCCTTTATTTTCTCTTCCAAGTAAGTGTAGTTAACCTGGGGTTTGTTCAAAACACACCAGACCATCTGACTGCTCGTGTTTCTTGCCATGTCAGACTCCTCGACTCCAAAGTAATGCAACATAAAAATGTTTTAAACACTAACACAATGATCATATCATGAATAAATGGAAAAAGGGATAATACAAGATGAGGTGTCCTGTGATAGAAAAACCGTGAACGAGGCGAAGGCAAAGAACTCCAAGACTCAAAGTAGCAATTTGTTGTTATACAGAAATGTGTAACGTAGAATTATAACACTTTATAGAACCTATTATGTACATGTGATGTGTGCATCTGCCTGAGCTTATGTGTGCACAGTGTGTGTGTTTCAGCTCGCAGTGATTTGTTCAACAGTAAATGTTTGTCTGAGATGAATTCTCCAGCTGATCCAGAGCTGCATCCCAGTTGACAAATGAAACCAGCGCCTGGGGGGAGGAAGAATGAGGGGGAGGAGTAGAGAGAGAGAGAGAAGCTGGAACGTGAGAAGTGGAAATCGAATCATTTTATTGTTTGTCACCGTGGCCCTCGTGGTCACAGTTTGTTATTGGACGCTAATTAAAACAGCAACAATCCTGACAATTGGCAATTAAAGACTTGTGAAAGAGGTGATAGGAAATGAGCTCCTCGCCGGGTGTATAAACTCATTTGTTATCCCTCTTTCACACCTCTCTTCACTCTGTCTTTTTTACTCGTTAGGAAGACAGAGTGCTGTCACTGACCACCACAGTAAATGATTGGTAGAAGGAGGAAGAGGTAGTGCAGATAATGACATGCAAGAGAGTTTTTTTGGGGGGGAATAATTTAAATGAATATGGTGTGCAGCCGATTGATGTTGCATTAAATCTTGCTTTTCAGGCTGTAGCAATGGAAGGTTTGTACCTTCACGTAGGACCATGCAGCTTGTGGCAAATTCATTTATGAAAGGCTTTTGAAGCAGTGTCTATGAAAGCTTGCTGATAAGGATATTTTCAGTTTACCACATCTCACATGTTAGTTCTGTCAGTTTGGCCACTATGTATATCAGTAATTGATAATATTGTACACACCAAATGAATTTTCTGAGATCTGAAAACATGATGACATCCCTATAAAGAAGTCAGAAGGGTCAAGAAACACGAGCAGCCGATGAGTTGCAGTCAAACCTTAAAGACTTATTAAAATAATTTATTAGATATATGAGTGATATTTGGATACGTTAGGGGTCTTTGGCCCTTAGTCTTTGTCGTGATCAAAAGTGTGAATGCGAATTTAGTGGGATTGAACTTTTTCTCAACTTCATTTGCAAGAGAGAGACTAAGGTGAACCGTAAAATTGTTACCTTGACATTAAGAGACTTCTGCTTCTGCTTGTTGCCTCCGAATGAACGTTTTGAGGAAATCCGGCTTGTTTTTTGCTGGGTTTACATCCTGCTGATCATTGACTGCTCGTGTTTTTTGCCATGTTGGATTTCTTTTAGCGATGCGTCTGTGATCCCAGATCAGGATTTGTTTTTCATTTGATCTCACAGAGTTGTATTTGCCACAAACCTCCAAACAGCTATTCACAATGTTCCAACATCTCTGACGTAAGCAGAGTGACTCCTCGCCCGTGTAGTCTTTGATCTTTGTAAACTGATGTGAACCACGACCCGCAATGCAAATTCTAGTCTTTGTGCAAGTAAGTCAGCCGGCATAGACCATCATAAAACAACATGATGGATACACAGTCAAATAAATAAATAAATAAAAACACTTAGTCCTCTTTTTTTTTTTTCTCTCTACTCTTACGCCTCTTGTCTGATGGATCTGTAAAATGATATAACGAATGAGACTTAAAGTGAGAAGGAGGGAGGGAGACCAGGCAGGAGGGATGAAGGCAGTGAGGAAAGAGACAGAGGATTTGATTTATTAGGCTCATAAAAATTCTGCCTTTGTTATTCCCTCTCATTTTTATATGTGAAGCTTATTAAAGAGCACACCTGCCAGAGTCCTCAGACAAACACGTGTGTGTGTGTGTTGGTGTGTGTGTTGGTGTGTGTTGGTGTGTGTGCTTAGTTTTATACATTAAAATGCAGAAAATGTATGTTTGTATGTAGATTTGTTCACAGACAGGCTGTATGTGTAACAGTTGCTTCTGTATCTGTGTGTGATCAGACGTTCATGTGCAGATGTTCATACTGATCTGTCAGTTTCGCTGTCCACAGGTACCGCCTCCTCCTCCCATCGCAGCCCCACCTCTCAGCGGGTGTTCAGGTCACGCTACAAGATGGTGACCCGCCCGGGCACGAGCGCCACAAACACTCTCCACTACAACCCCGCCCTCTCTTGGAGAGCCAAGAGGATCCAGTCTGCCAGGTAATCCACTTTAACAAAGACAAATACACACACCTCGGCAGGTCTGGGTTAAATGTGTCTCATCGGGTAATATCCCTCAGTACAGAGCAGCGCCCTTTCTTTTATGTCACCGTCACGCGCAGCATGAGTAGAAGAGGTTGGAAATTTATGGTGCTCATTTTTAAACCGTAGATAACCCAGAGAATAAACCATTAAACACCACTGTGCTCCTCACATTAATTTACACCAGCAGGGAACGCTTCACACCCAGGGCAGATACAAAGAGAGAGGAAGGGTGGGTGCGTCGTTTTCTTAATGTCGGTACATCTTCCATCTCTTCTCCCCCCTGCCCCTCCATTTATCTAACTTTTGTCCCCTCTGTCTCAGCACTCATTTCTCTATCATTCTCACATTTTCACTTGAGGTTTCATCGACCAGTGAGTAACAGGGCTGCAACTAATGATGAATTTCATTAATGGTTAATCTCTAAATGTGCTCTTTAAATTGTAATGAATTAGTGAATAGTCCGTCGCAATTTCCAAAAGCCAAAATAGAGATCTTCAGATTGCTTGTTTAGTGTGACAGTTAACGGATAATCTAAATAAATTCGCTTTACAATGATATAGAACATTTGAAAAGCTGGAACCAGATAATGCTCAGCCTTTTGCTTAATGACTGAAATGATTAGTTAGTTTTCTGTGATGAACTATCAATCGACAAATCATTTCAGCATCAGTCTATAAATAAAGCAATCTGGAATATTAAAATATGACTGACTTGTGCTAAAAATATACATATTTAGGTCTGTAATGTGCAGAGCTGAGAAGATATGTTTTGTGTAATATGACTGCTTGTGGTGGTGAGGTCAAATCTGAGGCTAGAGAGAGTTAATTAATGTTTATGAGGAGGTCATAATTGGGTTACTGACATTAAGTTAATGCCTTATTCATGGCTTTATCACTACGGAAAACACACTACAATGACGTTTATTAACCAAGTGGTGGTGACCTTTTTTCCCCCTGAAGGGTCTGAACAGGTTGTTGTGGTTGGTTTTGATGATCTGCTAATGTGTAGAGAATTAACAGGGTGCTCTTGCAGGAAACTGACACAGACGCACCACACTACACAGGGTTGAAAGTTTGAAAGATTCATTACAGAGTAAGGACCGTTGAACTTTTAACTCAAATAAAAATAAAAATTTTCTCTGCTTTTTGTGTTCGGTCAGACATTGATCTTCAAGGGCAGTTAGCTGAACTGCGACTCATGTTTCATATTTCGTTCAGTGGACTTGAAATATTTCTCATGGTTTGGCACACCAGGCACTGGAGTAAGAGCCTGAAAACGATGCCCCCCCTTCTCTATCGTGACACCCAGAAATCTAAATAAAATCGAATCGTAAGCACCACAAGCAAAATTCCAACTGAGCATATAATAATGAGTTTATCTGCAGTGTTGAGTGTAGAAAAAAAGGAAGTACTCTTTAAGTTGTCTTTTGGTTGGGTACATTTGGGTAGCCCAGTATAACTAAAGCATTTTTTAGCATATTTGTGTTTTGCGTGCATGTGTTGGTGACGGGAAGTTCATTTGTGTAATCCAGATTGGGTGAGACAGAGGGGCCTGGACTGTGGCTGGGCTCAGCCTCTGGTGACTTATTACTATTCATTTAGCTGCTGCAGTAAATATTGATTCATCAAGGGATTTTCAATTTGAGCCCTGTGACATCTTGTGAAATATCACCAAGTGTGTAGAAGTGAGGAAAGAGATAGGGAGGGAGGGGGACAGGTCGGGTCCCCAGGGATAGTGGATCAACCCCCCTTTCCTCAATCGCCCATGCGCTCCTTTCTCATGCTTATCTGTCTGTTTAACTCCAAAGACCCTCCACTTTTATCAGTTTGAAGCTATTGAGTGGAGCATGAGCTCATATTCTCTGCTCTTAACTACTGAGTGCTGCTCTTCATCTTTGGCCTATCAGACCCACTGATCCCTGTCCTCATACGTTCTCTGCTCTTATCTCTGTGCCTGCTCATAGCTGAACCACTCACTCAGGGCAATGCATCTAAAAAGCTAAATCCCAGGGCCAGCTTTGCAAAGTGACTCAGAGGTTTCCTAATGTCTTCAAGCCAGGTAGCCTGTATGGATTCTATCTAACATTGTTAGAGTGTTGAAAGTAGAAATCAAGCTTTTAAGATGATTAAAGTCAACTCAGATGCTCTGGTGGGCATTTTTATCCTGCTCTGGTGGGCATTTTTATCCTTTTTTAATTTCTTCATTCAGTCAACTTATTTAGATAGTCATTCATTAGAGAAAGAAATCCTTTGTGTGGACACCCACACAGGGCGGGAAAACTTGGAGATATGGCTTCAGCCAATATCATGATACTGATATGAATATTTTCTTTGCATATTAACATTAGGGGTGTGACGAGATCTCGTGCAACTAGATCTTTCTCGTCAAGGTGAAAAGCTGCCTCACTAATGTCAGCGTGATTGAGCGTGAGGGTGATGTTAGCCCAGAAGATGCCCCCACCACTTCTAAATTGTTGGTATGGCAGCATTTTGGGTACCCGGTGGAAACAATAAATAGCAACAGAATGACAGGAAAGACACGAACAAAATGTAAGCAACATTTCCAAATGCACTTGCATTTTGTCATTGAAGATTTCTTAAAAATAGTAATAAAACATCGTCTTGTCTCGTGAGCTGAGCGTATCGTCACACAACTATTTAACATATATCACAAAATGGCAAATATATGTAAGGTTATATTTAAAATATGCTGATTGGTGTCTGGCACGATGAACTGTTCCACTGCCATGCCTTAAATCAGGAGAAAGTCTTGCCTCGTGTAAAACAGAAACCTCAATAAGTCATTAAGTAATTTTTAAGTAAACATAATTCATTTGTTTAATTAATAATTATTCCAGACCTGACTACACATGATAAAGATTTAAAACATTTATAGATGTTTTGAGACAGTCTTGAGATCTTCACTAAGCTTTTTTTTCTTACTATAGAAATCAGAAGAGATCCTGTTATGTTGCATCAGTTGTTTTGTTTTTTGTTTGTCTAGTAACTATTGAATAGACCTTTTTTTTAGTTGCAGGTGAATGGAGTACTAATCCAAAACCCCTCTTCAGGGCAAAGCTTGAGCACACAGGGCCTTAACATTCTCTACACACCAATGGACACCATACATGTCTGATTAGGACAGGCAATTTGAACAGCGCCTTTTCGAACAAAATTTTAAAGTTAAAGATTTGATACAACTAAATTAAATGTACATTTTCACACTACACTTACTAATTTCACTGTCTAAACCCTTTCCAACAGCTAGTCCCAGACCTTTCCTACTCCCGGGCACCCGGGAAGGCACGAAGAGAGCTTCCCCCTTACCCAACATGCCGTGCTCTTACCTGTTTTCAGCCATAACGAGTGTGCAGGGTGATTTAGTGCTGGGCGGCAGTTTGAAGGGGCGGGAGAATCAGCTGCAGTATTTCAACCCCCGCCACCAGAAAATAGATATAATCTCAACATTAACTCCATTAATAGTAGCAGGAGTTGAATTAAGAAAGCCGTAAAGCATGCACACTGGAGGATAAATTACAGCCCAACCCTCCCTTCATCTCGCTCACACCCTCCTATTTTTCTCTCCACTCTCCTTTTTTTAATTTTCTAAATCCATGCGTTTGTTCTGTTGCTGTTATTTCTTTATTTTCTCTTTCTCTTTAATAATTTTATATACTATATATAAATAAAAGCCATATATTATAAATATATTTTTAAAAAATAATCCTAATAATTGGGTTCTACTTGCATCTATCTCTGTTTAACTTATGTCTGACATAAATGTTAAAGCCTCTAATATAGCAGGACCCAAATAAGTATTAACTATTTCTGAGTGTATACATCTACACACACACATAGACACACGCACACACTCTGTCCAGGCGCTCATCTCCTTTAGTGCTTCAGTATCGATCAGTACAGGATGTAAGAGACTGGGCAATAAAGTGAAGCAGCGCTCCCTCTTCTTCACTTCTCTACTCTTTTTCCCGCATTCACTCCCCCATTCATTGCCTTTTATACCCCGATTCATTCATTTACTCATTACTTATCACATTAGTCATCTACATGTCACCTACAGTTGTGTCTTATGATCCTCTTCTGTTGCTGTTCACACACACACATACTCTCTGCGGCGCTTCCTAATGTTATTTTCTAACCTAAAAGAGGATTTTGTTCATTACAGTCGTTTCCCTTTTTAAGTTGGATTTGATGGGCTCGTGATGCGTAATGACACTGCTTTGGTTTCCTTTAAGTGCCTAAAGAAGAGCAGCAGTCCTTACTGTTGGAATTAGCGCAGTGCTCGGTTTCAAGGGTAACTGTTTCCCAATATGAGCTTACTAATGCTTGGGTTGCAGACAAATAGACAAGGGCAGCATTATTCTGAGCAGTCGCGCGACCCTCCAAATTCTTCCCTGTCACTAAAACAAAAGTCGGATCATTCATCAACAGCGCCGGTAGTGCTGAATCGCGCTCTCCTTTTATCTGTGCATCGCATGGTCAGAACAGTGCACACACGCATACACTTGCCTGTGTGTATATAAACACACACACACACACACGTATGTGCATACGCATGCAGACTATTCACAGGGGAGTTTGTGCATGCCCTTGCCACCTCCTTCATTTCTTACTTTTCTGAACATATTTCTACCTTTCTTTTTGGGGAGTTAAAGTTATTTTTCTGTGACCTCCAGTCTTTGTCTTTATGCTTTACAACTCCATCGATGGATGGATGGCTTTACAACACAACTAAATGAATATAAAGTACAGAAATTGTACTCCACAACAAGAACCTGGAAAAACACATCTAAAATATTATTACAATTTGTTAATGCTATCTTGCTCAATATATTCTCTCTCCTTTAAGCTCTGGTTTGGTCTCCATCAACTCTTGAGAACAATATCTGGCTCATTAGCTGCTAGATTTTCCGCTAGTTACTTTTTAATATTCTCTAATAATTTATAATAGTCTGTCTGCCGTTTGGTGCTGGGCAGGTTGTGTAGAGTAGGTTTATCAAGCTTCTTATGCCCTGATTTGAAGAACAGAACCAATAAGCACATTAAGAGTAAGTGAATCACACAGTAAATGTACCTTTAAAACCAAAACAATGCGCTAAAAGAGGCTAAAAACTGGAGACATGGGTTTGTCACTATGTTTGACCAATTTTGCATTACATTTTGTCATTTTATCCATTGTTTAATATGGAAAATATTGATTAGTACAGCAGTAGATATTTCAGCAGTTTGTATGATGTGTGTGGATGTGTCCCTTAGGTCTTGTAGCAGAAAAGAAGGCAGTGGGGTACAATATCTATGCGATGTTCAACCCTGAAAGTGCTTCGCCCCCCTGAAACAATTTGGTTGTCCAGCAGGGGAGGATTTGTGCATCACATGGACCTGGAGGGTCTCTGATAACAGATATCCCTCTGGAGGTCAAGGCCATTACTGGAAACGGGCCAAGGAGAGCCTGTAGACAAAAAACACCCGCTCCTTTTTAAAGAGGTCGTGTTATGCTTTTTGGCTTTTTCCCTCTCCTTTATTGAGTTGTATATCTTTTTTGTGCTCGCCAAGCGGCTAGTCCGACACGCCCTCAAAACAACGGTGGAAAAACACTCAGCTGCTGCAGCACACAGTGACGAGAAGTCCGCCTGCTGCCTCTCTCCCTTCCAAACACTAGCTATCCTCCTGCCTGGAGGCGATGGACGCAAAGTTGTTACTGTGATGTAGAGACAGAGCTCAGTTAAAACTTTATGGATGAAAGACACTTTTGTTACAGATTAATAACTCACCACTCTGAAACTCTTGCTCCAGTCCATGTTACTAAGCTGGTAAGGCCATATACAGCTGAACCAAAGCCGTGTTTACCGGCTTCTCGCGACCCGCCCTACTCTGCCTCTAATTGGCTAGTAGTCCTTAACTAGGAACTGTGCATGTGCAACCCCCAACAAAGATCATGTAGAGACAAGATGTATCACTCCATAGCTAAAAGGAAGCGTTCAACACACAGGGTGAAAAGAGGGGCTGCAGCAATATGCTGTTTGACTAAAAATATGGTGTGTTTTGAAAACCATGTAAACCTGTTCTGGTACAACCCATAAATAAGATTTTGAACCTGAAAATGAGCAGAATATGACCTCTTTAAAGAGGTGGTATTGTGCTCATTTTCAACATACGAACCCCTTGAGAAAAGCCTTTCAGCATGACAGTCACTGAGGTTTGGACGCAACTAGTTAAGAAAACCTCTTACCAGACTGGGCGTTACACCCCCAGTCACCCCCCTGACTGCAGCCCTGTGTCAGGGTTAACTGCCGTCTGTGTTAACTGTTCATGTCATATCCCCATTAACCTCCATTGTGGCTCCCCAGACCGCCCAGTCCTTGTTTAAGCCTCCCCGGGTGGCAGTCAGCGCTCCAACATTAGCCTCCATTACAGCTCCCCTGGCTGCAGTTGCCCTGTGTAGGGCAGCCACTGATCTTGTATCAGTGAAACTGAGTGTCTGTGCTGCTGAGTTATGGCGTGCAGTCAGGTATACCGTGTACGTGAACGCAGCTGATGACTGATATTTACTCAGTTTTTTTCTTATTTGCAGCAGTGCTGCAGCTCTCCGCCGGCCGCAGCGTGTTAGGCGTCCGTGTCAGTTTTTTTGTGTGCGCCGTGCATTTGGGGTAACCCTCTCTTTTCTCTGTAATGGGAGGCATGAACTCTCGCTCTAAACCCATTTCCAGCCCATCTGAAATACGGCAGCAAATTACCTCCAGCGGAACCCTGCACACCAGCCCCAATCCGCCCCAAATAGAAGTGACAGGACAGCGCAATTTATCGCCATAACCCCTGCACCTCCCCACCACCACCCAGCAACCCCATACACACTGCAGGCTCGCACATACAGACGCCGCACACATACACAATTGTACTGAGTGACTTCTGAATGGTGAGCGTGTGTAGAGGCCTGTGATTGTGTGTACTGTACATACTGTAGCAGGAGTGTGTTGTGATACCGTGTGTGTGTGTGTGTATGTGTGTGGTCTCTACGCTCCAGTGTAGGGGCCAACCTCGCTGCCCTGGCCCCCTGCCCTGCCTATTATCTCATTGATTTCCTCCTCTCCTCTTTTCAATTCTCTCCATTTCCACACTGCCGTCCTTTCCATTAGAGGAGCAATTTAACAGAGTGCTGTGACATGGGAGGGAGGGAGAGGGGGGGTGGGGGTAGTAGAGGATGGGAAACATAAAGTGAGGAGGGGAGATATAGTGGAAGAGCTTAAGGGAAGACAGGCAAAAGAGGGATGGAACTGAGGAAGGGATGAGCAGATAATTTCATTCCATCTCAAAGAATGGCATTAATGAAAATTACAAAACTGTTTGTAAACACAGCTTAACGGATAATTATAATTATTAAAAGTTGTAATAAACCAGTGTGTATATGTGTATATATATATATATATATATATATATATATATCTATATATATATATATATCTATATATCTCTGACTGTTTTTCTTTTTCTGTCCCTCTTCCTCTTAGGAATTTCCTTCAGAGCCGTCTGCGAGCTCCCCACGACAGACACCCGTCATCCACTCAGCACTGGAGGGGAAGCAGCATGTGCTGGATTGGTGGTTCCTTGTACCGGGTGTCGGCCAACAAGCTGTCCCGAACCATGGGGTCCAACATGTCAATCAACCGAACAGGTACTCTGACGGTGACTCTGACACACTAACAACTCTAACAATACCGTAAGTTGTGGCAATTTAACATTTAAATACTTCAAGAGAAAATTTAGTTAATGAGTTTGCACAATAAGTTTGTACGGAGCTCCCAAAAGGTCTTTTTTTCCCCAATTCTTTTGTTATCTCGCAATACTTTTGCATTCCCTCTGATTCATAGAGAAAGACTGTATTATCATATAGTAGTAGTCACTGTTATAGTGGCTGTAGACATGGCTGTGCTTTGGTCAGAAAATAAGAGGCCGTAGTTATTTTCTTTAACTTCCCACATTTTTTAGATGAATGTAACTGACTGACTGTGAAGATAATGATTCTCTTGATTATTTATTTCTTCAGTTGCAGTTCACAAGTGTATGGGAGTGTTGAAACCATTGTGACTGAATTTGAATCTGGCAATATATGGCCATCAAATTAATTGTTGTTGGTTAATGCACATGGGGTGTTGCACACACATAGATTACACGTTTGTACATCCAAGACTGTTAACATTTTTTGGTACTTTTGCCAATATGATACCTGGTACGATACCAAAACTTTTTCTTTTTTCAATCCTTATTTCAAAAGACAACACGTGTTGTTGTCTACACACAAGCAGCTGATGAACATGCCAAGATAAAACATTGAATGTATAGTTTAACAATTATTATACCCTATATAGTCCACGCAAAGTGTCCCAGATCAGTGTGTTTCCCCTAGGATGGAGTTGTAGCAGCGGAGGTGAAGCGAAATTGTTTATGTGGGCGTAGTGCGTAGTATGTCTGAATATAAAACCCCAACACAACATATCTCAGCAGTATTGCTTTTGTGTCCATGAGCATGTTTTTCCATAGGTTAATATAACCTCAGAATCATTAAAGATAGCCTACGATTTTTCATGTTTACAGCTTTTGACATTCATCTGTATAGACAGTAATAGTAAAAAATAGGCAACATGAGAAACCACCTCCCTTCTGAGGTGCATTTTATTTGCACGTTTAAAATACAAAAAGAAATGTCTCCTTATTAGCTTAAAAGGACTAGTTTGCATCACTAATTTGCTTTACTAACCTCATCTCCTCCAGTCACCTCTGTCCTTTCTTTTCCAAACAACCACTTTTTCAGGCTCATCTGAAAACTGAAAATTAATTTAGGATTAGATCCTGTCTGTAGGCTACAGGACGGAGCTGTAGGCTACACCAGTTTAGTCTAAGTTTGTACCTGATGTTCTCAACATTGGACGAGTATGTGGTAATAAAACACAGCTACCGGTTACTTTCTATAAATTGAGCTAATGTTAAGTTACATAGCAGCAAAAAGACGTAGCCTGCTGTATAGCTTTTCTGCTTAGCTTCAATTTTCTAGTAGTTGGGGAAACAGGCGGACTTTTCTTGGTCTTGATAAGTTACCACACCATAAGCAACACCATGCATTTACTGCCAGAATATTTTCCTCCGCTCGCGATCACCGTCACTTCCTGCCACTCGGATAATCGAATATGGAGTTACGCTGCTCTTAGAACAGCACCTGTCTCGTAGACTTGAAGAATGAGGAGCGGACCGAGCGAAGCGATGTGTGAGTGAAAATTTGTAGCACATTGATATCATTGTATTGTAGTATTATTGTATCTTTTTATACTTTTTGTATACTTTTTTCTGATCTCCTTACTTTTTATATATTTGTATTACTATTTATGTTATGTGTACTATAAGCACCGATTCATACCAAGGCAAATTCCTCATATGTGAAAATGTACCTGGCAATAAACCCGATTCTGATAATGAGTGCGAAATTTTAGTAGCCGTGGTCACAATTCAACAGCTTCTGAAGGCATATAGGGGAAAAGCTGAAGACTGCATTTTGAAAGGTAGTGTACAACCGATGGTCATTAACCAATAGGGGTGGGGGGGATCGATACACCATAGTACAAATTTTTCCGTGGCAATATTGTATCGATACACGGAAGTCAACTATTGATCATTTATTATATAAATTGTACATGAGAATTTCACTTTTTGGTACTATAATAATAAAATCAATTGCTTTTTTAGTCCACGAGAAAAAGAGTTTTTCTTTGGGGGCACAATTTGAAGTTGGGGAAAAATTGCAATATATCACAATATGTTTAGAATAAAAACAATATTGTATCGTGACATAAGAATTGTGATTATATCGTATCGTGGGGCCTCCGGTGAATTCCCACCCCTACTAACCAAGCCGTGTATACCATCATGCATTGCGCTGATAGAAAAAACAGTCCACCAACCGACTGTCCGACAGCAATGATGTAATTAACAGCCCTGAGATAATGATCGGAGTAGTGTCCAAAAGTGTTTTTGTGGGTGAGCTCACTATATAGTCCACTACATAAAACTCACTAAATAGGGAATAGTAAGTAGTGAATGAGTGTTGATATCGGAGAAAGCCATGGTCTCAAATAGGTAAAATTTCAGTCTAAATGTGGTTCTGTGAAGAAATAAGAATCTGACCAGTCATTTAATACTAGCATTTCATACTTAATAGTGCTCTATAGTCAGTGCTACAGACACATTTCAGTTGGTATCAAAAATCTACAGAGGTTCGATACGTAGCCCTATTCAGCACATGGGTTGCGAGTACAGGGCTGTAAAGTCTGTGTGCACCCCGAAGTGATAAAGGAGTGTTTATTCATGTTTGTGGCTGCAGCTCTGTCCACATGCTCTCTAATAGACTTACGGGAGCTGGCTGGATTTGCCATCTGAAATAATAAAGTTGTCATCTGTCAGAGCAGCGAGGGGGAGGGTCTGGAGAACTGGACGGTGCAGATTAAAGCCCGGATCTGCTTCTACCTCCTTCACACTTAGCTCTTATACACATTCTGTAGCAACTACACCTGCAGGTGAAATTGAAGAGCTCCACTCTGTAAAACTCGTGACCGGCATCCCAACACACACACATTCCTGCATCCCCCAGAAACACGGCCCAGGTGTATTCCCAGCAGGAGTTGTGATTTCACACCTTTTCAAGCGTCACATTTGATCTTGGTCTGGAGCCACCGGCTTGTAATTCTGCTCTGCTTAAATCACACTTGATGCACACACAAGTGCACACTTGATGAGAGCCTGTAGTTTCAAAAGTAGAGGTCCAAATAAGATCAACTGCTATGTGTAACCCCAACCTCCTTGCGCTCCACTCCTCTCACTCTCCACTGTTTGTGGAGTGCATTGGGTACATAGTGTTTATGATGTTCTCAGACAGAGCTGGATGTCACGTTTGGCTTTGGCACCAATGTGTCAAACTACCACAGTATAAATAGCCAGGCACATATCAGGTTGTTATTGCATCTGGCTGCACAAACAGACACTCAGATGTTTTCAGTTCTGTCATATCTGAGGTGAATAGTTATAAAAGTATGTTTCAAATGTCAGGACAATACAAGATGAGTACATTTATAATGGTGAATAAACCAAAATATTGACAAAAAAGCGACCTCCACTCTCATTTCAAATATGCATCCATGTCTTCATCACCATGTAAAACTAATTGCTTTTAATAGTGTGGTAACATCTCACCGCATAGGTCAGTTAGGAGGACTTAAATCATTGTTAAACTGTATACATTTTTGATTTATATTTAAAATACTTCATTTTCTACTTCCGTCTCCTCTGCGCACACACTTGCAGTCCACAAATGTTAGTCAGTTCTTGAACGCTAATTAGCACATGAAGCTTATATGTATTCGAAATTCTGTTTACAGGGTTATGTTTTTATATTGAAAAACTCCTACATAGTCATAATACTTATTTGCAGTCTATGCTTCAGTAACCACCCCCTAACAGATATTTGATTCAACAAGTGATAATAAGCGTATTACTGTGAACCAATGCTACTCCAATAACAGTATTTATTATATATTTGTACTATGTCAAAAAACCAAACAAGAACACAGGTCAGTCATTATTAAAATTAATCTATCAAGGAAAAAATGGAAATTTGGAATTTAGGAATTCTATGAAATCCACAGTTTGGTAAAAACTACATCTGTAGGAGCAGATAACACAAGGGCAGCTTTACCACAAGTACCTCCCCATCACCTCCTGTTGACATGTCAATGGTCAGATAAGCGCATTGCACTGTAGACCGCTGCCATCGGTATGAGTGTGTGCTTGAATGAGAAGCTAATACAGCGCTTTGCCTAGAAGCGCTTTATAAATGTAGCTATTTTTAGTAATAAAGTATAACAACACCATTTTTGACCTTTGTGTCTCAAAAGCAGTATTGAAAAACAAACCATGTGGATTTTACTGAACACAGGATGCCTTTAATTTTCATTTAGATTGCTCATATGTCCCTTTTCTCCACATTTAGGACGGTCTTTCAGCAATGCCCAGGTCCCATCCATGAATCCTGCTTTCAGCCGACCTTCCAGTACTCGTCATTTAGCCAGGTGAGCTTTTTACACCACCAACCTGTTTTGTGTCTCCTCATTCTGCCAGCTCGCTTCATACAACTACACTATCATGAAATCAAATGCAGCCAAGACTTTTACATATGATACTCTGCACTCTCGCCCCGAAATATTAACTGCCTTTCATCACTGACAACTGAGGGCTGTAAAGCCAGGAGTAATCTCTCTAAATTAAAATTAGCAGATGGCGGATACAATTACAGGAGTTGAAACTTTAATCTTGGCACCGTTTTTCCTCTTTAGTTACCACAAGTTGCGTATCATTGATTTGTGGGTACCTGTGGTTTATCTGTGTTTTCTGTAAACAAGCCGTGCGGTCCAGCGGAGCCTTGCCATAATCAGACACGCTCGTCAGAAGAAGCAGCAGAAGCAGTACTGCATGTACTACAACCGCTTTGGCAAGTGCAACCGTGGCAACAGCTGCCCCTACATCCACGACCCAGACAAGGTTGCCGTTTGCACCAGGTAATCTAAACACACAGGAACGTCCCATTTAGTCATATGTGATAGATAATCCACTGCACCCAGTGAGGAGTTAAAAGACGAGTCTTGTTTTAGGAACAATATCAAGGCAATAACATAAACCTACAGTTGCATTATACATAGGTATCCTAAGATTTTGTGCTTAGGTACATTGAGGATATCATGAAAGAAAACTTTCAAAGGGCCCGTCACTATGGGCTACAACACTCCCAGAACCAGCTTCTCATCCCCCTTCGCAGCTCTGTTAGCTTCTGCATTCTCAGGCTTGTTCCTGTTGTTTATGTGCAGGTTTCTGCGAGGGACATGTAAGCAGGCAGACGGGACATGCCCTTTCTCTCATAAGGTGGCTAAGGAGAAGGTAACAGACCCACACACACTCATACACGACCTAGTTTTCAGACAACGTAGTGTTTTATAGGTTTTCATTGCAAAGGCCAGGATTTGGCTCAGTGTGTAGGTATAAGATGACCCACTATTGGGTCATAGTGGATCATATTTGCCTTCTTGGCACGGCTCCTGTTTCCATGACACAGGAGTGATTGAGGAAGGCTGGACCTGACGGGGGTACAGGGAGGGGCTTACGGCGAAACGAGCAGCCTTAAAGTTTGAACTTGTGGCAAAGGGTGACCCATTTGATCTGTTGACCAAGCAGGCCGAATCTGGGTGTGTCATGCTTTCTCCTCCCTCATCATCTCCTTCTTTGTTAATGTGTGTAACTGTGTGAGTGTACACAGCTGAAAAGGAAAACTTTATTATGATAGATTTTTATTTATTAATTTCAAATATCTGAGTTTAACATGATCTTCGCCTCAGAAATATGATTACACACATTATTCTGCTTGGTAGCAATGTGAACTCAGTCAATCTAGGACTAGGTTATATGGCTGAAATTAATATCACAATATTTAGTCAGTGGACAGAAAACAACAGTTGCTTAAATGTTGCAACTGCAATGTTGGCTGCAGAAAATAATTTTCAGATTGAGTGAGTGGGTCTGTTCAACAAACCATATACTTGTTGTACATTCAATCTGACAAAGGTGTTCACATGTGCAAAACAAAAACCCAGCTTATCGAATGACAAACAGTATGACTCTCTGAACTAATAAACTCAAATAGCCACAACAACCAGTCACATACCAGTTAGCCAGCAACCTAGTACCTTTTAACTAGATTTACACTAATTAAACATTATATGCACTGATGTACAAAAAACATATTGTTCTCAATGTTAATCTGATTATTTTCCACTACACAGATTCAGGGAAAATGTTCCTTCATGTAGCTTAAAAAACTTGGCTTCCAAAGTCAAATAGATAATCTGCATGTATTAGCCCAGATTTGTAATTTTAACTCCTGTCACATCACGTGTTAGCTGTATCCACATTTGCCTCCAGCTGGTCCTGTCCTGTACTCCTGCCCGTCTAGGGGAAAGTGTAGCCGCTCAAAAAGGGAGAGTTGGGTTTTTTTTTTTTTTTTTCTTGAGACAAACAACCCTAGAACAGGTGCCCTGCCTCACCCTCCAAACACACACAATGCTGTGCACCTGTGTTGGTTGTCACACTGCTGCCTGTAAGTGCTGAGAGCCCAGCTGTCTGTTTGTAATGCCACCTCTCTAACAGCCCCCCCTCGCCCCCAAACCTTTGGCCCATCCCTCCACAGGATACTCCCGCTCTTATTTCATGCGGACCCCTTGAACAGGACTTTATGGGGGTCTTCACGAGAAGTGGGGATGATTTGAGGGGGGTGCAGTGTTATGCACCCAGCAGCAGCCCTCCGAACCTAATCTGGGCTCTAGTGTGGATAGGCGAGCCCCAATCCTGAATCCTGCACCCCACCCCCCTGTCCTCACACTACCACAAATACCGCGAAACCAGACACCCCAGTGTCTACTCCCATGGCATCTCCCCCCCCACCACACACACACACACTTGGGAACATCACCCTCCTTCTCCCTCCTCCCTCCACCACTGGCCCAGTCTGTACAGTGTGCACACATCCAGAGTGCATAAACACATCCTGAGAGCTGGACGAGCTGCAGCCTGGATAAATATTTCTGTAACAGTTAATTAGGTAGAACTGATCCCATCCCAACAAGGAGGAGTCCCTCTCACACTCCGCCTCCCCCGACCTCCCCCTTATCCCTCTCCATTAAACCTCTTAGAGGTATATTTAGACCGGCCTCCACCAGGCTCGCCCACGTGTACCAAACAGCGCATCTCTGCACATGCACACCCTGCACACACACTGTCAAGACACACATTCACTCTGCTGCTATCAACTGCAATTAAGGTAATTTAGCTGCTCAGCGTGACCGATTGCATGGCACATGGGACATGTCTGGCGTGACAGCGACTTGTCATTCACAAGGTAGCCACACCCTAAAGCATCCCCAGCTTTATCATCTGTTTTTATCTAAATGGGACCATCATTTTCAAAAATCATGCTCTGACCATAAACTCATTTGGTTCCCGCTTGGTCTGAACTGCCTGTTGACAAATTCATATAATCTCATGTAATCACGTTCCCTCATCACCTGTGCTCTCTGAGTGTTGTTTCCATATTTGTATTTTTAAACTCTCGGGGAGATGATCTTGGCAGATAACAGAAAAATAATAGAAAATAAAATTTGTAAGGGAAACAAAACGGCAACAATATTTATTGTTGACGTCATTTTTTCCAGGACCATTTTAACCCTTTCTTCTCCTTGCCCAATATTTGGAGGCTGCAGTTTTAACAAGGAAACCTTTACTTTTACTCAGATCTTTAATACAGTACCCTCCAAAAGTATTGGAACGGTAAGGCAAATTCCTTTGTTTTTGTTGTTCACTGAAGACATTTGGGTTTAAAATCAAAATATGAGTCTGAGACAAGAGTTCAGAATTTCAGCTCTCATTTCCTGGTATTCACATCTAGATGTGTTAAACAACTCAGGACATACCACGCTTTGTTTGAACCCCCCCATTTTTCAAGTGAGCAAAACTATTGGAACATGTGACTGCCAGATGTTTCTTGTTGCCCAGGTGTTGCCTTTTAGGCTGATTGTCCAAACATTAAATAGCTCTGCATGACTAGTCCAAGTTTTCATCCTTGGTTCAAACCTATAAAGACTGCATTTCCTGTTAATGAGGATAAACCAACATGAAGACCAGAGAGCTGTCTATGGGAGAAAAGCAAGCCACTGTCAAGCTGAGAAAAGAAGGAAAATTGACCAGAGCCATTGGACAAACATTGGGCACAGCAAGCACAACAATTTGGAATGTCCTGAAAAAGAAAGAAACTACTGGTGTACTGAGCAACAGACGCCCAACAGGTCGGCCAAGGAAAACAACAGTAGTTGATGACAGAAATATGGTGAGAGCTGTGAAGAAAACCCCCAAAACATCAGGAAGTGACATCAGCAACGACCTCCACAGTGCAGGGTGAAGGTATCACAATCCACTGTTGGAAGAAGACTCAGAGAGCAGAAATATAGAGGCCACACCACAAGATGCAAACCACTCATCAGCAGGAAGAATCGCAAGGACGGACTGAAATTTTACAAAGAAGTAGAGAGATGAGCCGCAAAAGTTCTGGAACACAATCTTATGGACTGATGAGACCAACCCTTTTCCTCATTACCGAGTTTGCCAAGTTGGGACTTCTGTACTTTAAAGTTCGGACTTGGCAAGTTCGGCTCGGGAGTACAAACTCCCAGGAACGGGAGCACGCAGTCAGTCATTCAGCAATTGGAAGAGCAGCCCGTCTTGATGACGGTCTTGAGAAATCAACCACATATTTGGAGTTTAAACAACTATATTCCTGCATAAAAAAAACTCTTAAAAAAAACTCTTAAAACTACTATGTGACACAAGAACAGCAGTATTAAAAGTTACAGTTCACGAACATTCTTATTATTGTTTTTAAGTATGCTTTGCACACTCACACACACCTACACTTCAGGTAAACGCCCCGTCTTGCCCCGCCTCGCTCTCCCCCCGTCTGCTCCATTTTCTCCATCAGCGGTACGTTTTATAAAGTCGCCTAAAAGACTGAGAACTCGTCTTTTTTTCGTACATTTCCATCCGCGATCCATTATCACGGCAGCAGGACCCTGTGTGTTCACTGTTGCTTGACCTGGTCCGTCCGTAAAATATCCACCGTGACTTGTAACGTAACTTAATAGTCTACCAATTTATTAGACAGAAACATTTTGTCTGCCAATTTACGGAGAAATGCGTTGAAACTAATGGGGAGGAAGTTTATCATGCAGCAGGACAATGACCCAAAGCACACTGCCAACAAAACAAAGGACTTCATCAGGGGGAAAAAGTGGAAGGTTTTAGACTGGCCAAGTAAATCACCTGAACTTAACCCAATAGAGCTGCGTTTCACCTCCTTAAGAGGAGACTGAAGGGAGAAACACCACGAAACAAACAAGAACTGAAAGGAGCTGCACTAAAAACCTGGAATAGCATCACAAATGAAGAATGCAACAGTTTGGTGATGTCGATGGGTCGCAGGCTTGAGGCAGTTATTGCAAGCAATTATTATGCCACCAAATATTAAATGTTATTTATTTGAACAACAAAAACAAAGGAATTTGCCTCACCGTTCCAATACTTTTGGAGGGGACTGTAGATGCCTCAATGTATTGTCTGATATGCTTTCAGGGGAATGCCAAGGATCCAAAGTGCTTGATTCTGTCGGAGTCAGATTGAAACAAAGTCAATTCTCTTTTTGGACATTTAATGTGTGGCCAATAATGTGGGAGTTTTGGGCAGTCCCAGAATATATGAAGAATGTCTGCTCAGCTTCAACTCCTTCAACACAACTCAGATGAATAATGCTAATTCAACACAACCAATGGAGATTCTATTGTGAAGTTCTATGAAAAATTTCTCAGGTCCAGATGGCCAATGAAAAATTTCTCAGGTTCAGATGGCTTACATTTCTCTCTCTCTCTCACTCTCTCTCTCACTCTAGATGCCGGTGTGTTCCTACTTCCTGAAGGGAATCTGTAACAACAGCAACTGTCCCTACAGTCATGTCTACGTGTCACGCAAAGCTGAAGTGTGTGAGGACTTTGTCAAAGGCTACTGTCCTGAGGGAGAGAAGGTACCACACCAAAGAATTAAACGCTTCAATGTCTTTGTGTCAGAGACTCCATATGACTATTCTGTATGAGCACTTATTTATCCAGCCAAAACAATCAACATAAACAGAAAATGCTTTTGTTGGCTCAAGATAACTTTAGCTCTCCGGCTAATCCCGAGCAGTTGCTAACAGCATCTGGTGCAAATACTACAGTTTTATCGCTTTCCACACTTCACCAGCTAACAAGATCCATATTTATATCCTGTGTACCACCGGTGTTATGTCAGTGTTGATTTTGGCCTGCAACAAACGATTTAAAGGTAAAAAGCATTTGAGGAGCGATTTGTTTCTACTAGCCTATAGTGATGTAAGGCAGGAGCAGCCAGCTCTCGTTAGTACAGATCTGCCGCTGTTTGTTTCGTAACGTTCAATTTAGATTTATTTATATTTTACCGATAGCTGTAACTTACGTGACCCACTTAATATACAATGATAAATATGCTGGACAACACCACAGTACATTTAGCTGTGCTGATGTTGCTGAGCCTCTGCTGAAAGAGACTCAAATAGTAATGTTTACTGTAAAGCAGCAGGCGAGCCAACGCAGTCAATGTAACGTCATGCAACGATTATGGATTAGTTCAACGTCAAGCTGATAAAAAATATTACTCTAACGTTGCTGTGGGAGTTTCCAGCATGTTGTGTGAAGCTGTCTTCCAGTGTTTAGGTCTCTGCTCGTCCGATCCTGCTCGCTCATGTGTTAAAGCATGCATATGAGCACACACATGGTTGCAATCTGATTATAGATCTAGAAGCTGCGCTGCTAAAATACAGAATTACAAAGAATGACAAAGCACCAAGTAACGCCAGATTTCACTTTCACTTCCCTCTGCTTCCCAGCTGTTTTGTGCTCGCCCATGGTCATGTTGTCTCTCTCTTTGGGGAGTCTGTTAAGTTCTATCTATGCCAACTTACCAACACCTATTAACCAAAGCCAGAGAGAATCTGACCGGTGTTCAGCCCAGTTTCAGACAAGGGTCATGGACGCTGGTCAGCTAATGTGTTGACCCTTTCAGATGGCCATCAAAACAGATTTCACCTGTGTCGCGGTGTCAGCTTGAATGCAATAATTAACAATAGATGTCACTGTTTTCACTCTCTTAATACACTGTCAGCGTTTTTTGGACTTCATATTGGTTTAATCTCACTATATCTTTATTAAGCATTGCAATGATGCATTGGATTGTACAGTTCTTTGTTTAAGCTGCGTTCTTCATTTCAATGTATAATTATACTGTACAGCATGTATACAGTTCCACTGAAGTTAAACTGAGTCTTAGGTAAACAAGTAGTTTGGTAACCATTCCCCCCTGCACACACACGCGTATACACACACACACGTATACACACACACACGTACACACACACACACACGTACACAGTGACACACAAGCAGGAACAGCTGCAGGGTCCATAATGGCATAACTGTAGTGTCTGAGTGACACATTGCGGGTCGGACGGGTAACAGAGAGCCGCCTACACATGACACCCGAGTCCCCCCACATACACACTGTCCCTACGTCCACCTCAAACACATCCTCCACTCCTCCTCCTCACCCCCTCTTGTGTTTTTGCCTCCCTTTGTCTCCCCCTCTCCTCCTCCTCTCTCTGCTTGTTTTTGAGCGTTGAGTGTGAAACAGATGCTTTTTCACACTGTCAGACCTCATTTAAATGGCGCATGGGGAAATGAGGATATAGAAAACAAAAGGGATATTAATATTTATTCTATTAGCTGAAGTGCTTAGGTCTGTGATTTTCCTTGTGTGCGTGCGTGTTTGTGTGTGTGTTTATTGTGCACTGCGCTGTGAGGCTCTGGTGGCTCTATGATGGATAGCAGGCAGTAATTATAGATGGGAAAACTGCTGAGGATGGCACTATGGGCCAGGCAGGCAGACACTCCAGCAGCTCAGGGGTTAAGTCCGCTCCTCGCCTCCATCCTCCTCCTTCTCGCAGACTTGCCACCATCCTGGCTTTGTCTCACACACACCCTCTACCTCACAGGATCTGTCTGTGCCTTCCTAATCGCCCCTCTCCTTTCTTTCCACCACAGCATCAAATTTGAGCTGTTTTTGATTGTTTCCCTTTTTTTCCCCGTTACCTCAAATGTGGCTTCTGCATCAGGTGTGAGGTTTCCTATTGTCATCTGTTATCGGCTGTTGTCAGTGGCCAATCTGCTGATTCAGCATGTTGTAACAATGTAAACAGTATGTAACTGTTTGGCTATTTAACTCAATTAATCTGTGATTTCACTGTTTTTATGCAGTCTCTCTTTATTTTTTGACCTCTGCCTTTACCTTTGTTCTTCTGCTGCAAAGCAAAACTTTACAGTGCCATCTCCTTTGTAAGATAATTTCTCAATTTCTTTTCCAATCTCATGACGAGTTTAAAGAAATTCACCGTTGTGGTAGTGGTTAGCTAGTTTGCACTCATGTACACATACACATGAGAGCTACTCCTGCCTTGCGGATAAAAAAATATGTGCATGTGGGAATTTGTTCTTGAACTTCAAAAAGCTTTGAAACTACATCTGAAAAGATTAACTTTTTAACTTATTCTGCTTGTATTTTAAAATCCCGCACTTTTCTGTCTTCTAATTCTTTTGATATTAACTGTCGTAGCAAGCCTCTTGCTATCTTAGGGGCATTGACATGCTCACAGCGACGAGCTGGGCTCTTTGCTGTGCCTTGTCCTCCGTCAGGACCATTGGTAAACAGTTTGCCGTTCATGTTGCTTCATCGAGTTTTTTGATTAGGCCACTATAGTGCCTTCCCCATTGATCTAGACTTGCATTGCAGCACATGTTGAGCAACAGTTGCTGGACAATGTTGCATCTATTCAAAGTAGCCATCTGTGACCCGTCTGCAATGCATCAGCACAGTGGGTCTCATTGAAACAAATGAGGATGCTACATTTTTTTGATACAGTGCTAATTTAATTTTGAACATACTTTACACTTTCATCTTCTTAATATTACCCTCTCTGTTAATACTCAGTAACCTGAGTTCATTTATTGTTCCGTTCTACTCGCTGTAAGTTGCTCTGACAAGTGTCTGCTTAATGCCCAAGATGTAAATGCATGCAATGTCCCTTTTTTATTTTACTGTCTCTTCTATCTCCTGCCCTCCCTCTCTCTCGCTTTCTTGCTTCTTTTGCTCATTCTCTCAGTCTCTGGGTAAATGTGCTGACTCCTCCTGGTTTTGGCCCAGCAGAGAGCTCTCTAATAGGCCCCAGAGACATCCCAGCATTCCTTAAATCAAGTGGAAAATTGTTAACTTGGTGTGGGATAAAGATGTTCTGTCCACTTTAGCTTTTTCCTCCTATTTCCCATCTCTCTCTCTGTCTGTCTCTCTCTGTCTCTCTCTCTCTGTCTTTTTATGAAAATGAGGATGTATGGAGCTATGAGGAGTGGACTCAGCTTTTACAGTCAATTTCTCCGACACGTTCAGTTTCTTACACTGAAAGTGCTTCAGCTTTGTTAACTCCTGTTGTCCCGTCACACTTGTCTCTGGATCAGAACTCTGTGCACATTTTAATTTTACATTAAAGTAAACATTTTAGGTTCGCACATAGCAGTAGGTTCAGAGGTAGTCTTGAGCAATATAAGAGACCATAAATATGATAAGCAATCCTGATGTTTTTAAACTGTATATTACAATGTTTAGGCTTGCGAAGTTACATGTAACATTTTGTAGTTACATATCACATTGGACTGCTGGTCATTTTGGCCGCACAGTTGTGGCTAAAATGGTAATCGTGATAATTTCACCCTACACTGAGATCACAGTTGTCTTTGAAAGGATGCAATCAAACATTTTAAATGAACAGAAAAAACATGTTTAACATCAAATCAATGTATCTTCTTAAAGTCATGCAAAAGTAAAAGTGTGATTTGAAGAAGAAGAAGAAAAAGAACACCACTTAGCTTGCAATCTAAATAAGGACAGGATTTATCTCTTAATGCAGTAACATTTGCAGGTTGTCTTTGAAATAAAATAATGAGGTCTGCAGTCACAACTATGTAATCAGAAAGTGCATGAAATGTTAGTGATTGGTCAGGCCTGCAATAGGAAATGCTCTGTTTGATGCACCACTGTAGCTCCAAAACTTTCCACAACACAATTACAACAATAAATTATAAATATTAATGTATTTCTCAGCCGTATCTGGACCTGACGGCTTAGCAGTGATGTCAGACACCAAATATAAAACGATGAACATCACTGACACCAGCAGCAGACCTGATTTGTTGACCGAAACGTGGTGTCAAAACCGCAGCCCTATAAGATGATCCAGAGAAACATTTGACAGCAAGCTGACCCCCGGACTACCCTGGCACCAAGGGGCACAGGAACATGGCTGTGAGGGCGGTGAGAGGGCCTCTGACGACAGTGAGTCAGGGCTGCTGGGCTCCAGAGAGAGTTGAGCAAGAGACCATAGGGTTCCTGGAAAATCGATCTCAAGACCCCCTTTCCATGCGCGTGCACACACACACACACCCCCGATACACACACCCCGATACACACTCTATTTCTGGACCAATGTGCTTCCCAGTCCCTGCACTCCTCACCCCTTCACACACACAGACACACACTCACACACTCCTCACCGCCTGCACCCCAGAGTGAATATAATTAGCTTTTCTGACAGGTGGGAGGGATCGGATCTCGTGGAGAATGAAGCTACCAATTTACACCCGTATTACACTGTCATACGCACTCACTTGCAAACACGCATGTGAAAGCGCTCTCTCTCTCGTGCACTATAACAAATGACGATAACTGTGACCCACTTGCTCAACTTGCATGTTAAAAGAGAGGGTGACAGAAAGATTGTCTCTCAAAAGTAGTATTTTACGAAAGAATGGATGGGGTAACAGAGATTCCTAATCAGCATATAACCTTACTTGAAATGTCTTTAACTTTGTGTGGTGAGATCATTGGAGCACTACTCAAGACAGAAAACTTTATTCTCTGTAAGAGAATGGCCTTTCTGTGTGGGTTTTCCTCCCACAGTTTAAAGATATGCAGGTTAGGTCAATTGGTGTGGATGGTTCTGTCTCTGTGTCCCTTTACACCTTGGCATTCCAGTCCATTGCGGATCCAGACTGTATCTGGATGTGATTTTGACATGATTACATTTACACATCAAAATACATACCTGGTGGGCTAGAGGTTAAGACATGTACCACGTCTGTATCTCAGTCACAATCTAATGAAGGCAAAAGGTCTTCCAAAAAATAAAACCCATAACGCAGATTTTTAAAGGCCAGATCTAAATCCACACATAGATTTTTGTAGCAGTGTTGAATGTCTTCGTATTATCTGTCACTGGTAAAACTGGGTTTGTGTTTTTATTTCGCCGTAGTGTAAGAAGAAACACACCCTGGTGTGTCCAGACTTCTCTAAGACAGGATCATGCCCTCGAGGAGCCCGCTGTAAGCTGCAGCATCGCCAACGAGCCAAACGAAACACCAGCACTACATCCACCACTCCAGCGAAGAGAGCCCGATCCAAGGAGCCCTCCAAGAGGTCAGGGAGGCAGATTGTACAGAGCTCATTTGGAATTATACACAATTATTAACCTTTTATGTTCTGTTTAATGTTTTTTCTCTTTTAGACCCCGCCTGTCTGTTGTCATGCCACAGGGCTCTCAGGCAGCTCCAGAGACACCCACCAAAGGTCCTCTGGCACTGCCGTCCTTTATCTCCCTCTCCAGCTCCCCAGAGGAGGCAGACACCCCAGACACACTGCTGGCTGAGACCTCACAGGTTAAAGGTATGAAAATATACTACCGTACAAACCTAGCAAACAAAACAATATGACTTAGAAATAAGTCATATGTATACATATATGCCCTTGTTGTCTCCAGATTTGGCAATTAAAATGTCTAAATTCATAGGAGTTATGGTAAAAACTTGTATCCAAGTTGAAGAAAATAGAATGTTCCCTTAGGGGATTAGGTGTGTACTTACTTAGTAAAAGCTAGAGTAAAAGTGCTGACTGTTGGGCATATTGTCCAGAGATGTTTTGTGAAAGGATCATGTTTGTCATGAAAGCCACAAGATCATTCCTGAGTTCATGAGAATGGGGAGTGGTGGTTCGCCTGAGCTGCAGACCGATAATGATGATCAGAGCTGGTCTGTAGAGTGAGTGTGATGATGCTCAGGGGAGGAGTAATAATGCTCAGAGGACAGAGGTAATAATATTTAGCTTTTGGGCTGGACGGAGGCACAGCTGAGCTCTCTGTTGACAGAGTTGACAGATAGAGGATTAGGAGAGGCTGCCTTCCCCCTCCAGCCTCCTCCCCCATCCAGGCCTGATCATCCACCTGCCCCTGCCTTCTGGACACACACACACACACGCGCATGCTGACTGGCACTGCAAAGCAACATTTAACCCATTTGACCTGGGTTCAACCTGATTTACCTCGCACCACATTAACTAACATTAATTCCCCCCCTCCCCCGACTGAATAAAAAAAAAATGTTATTAGTCACTAAACTAAAAAAGTGCGAGGGCCCTAATTAGTTAAGTTCTGTCTAAAGTTAATAGGTTTTGTCCTCAAGTGCAGTCCTGGGCTCATGTTACTCTTTAAAGTTTGTTTTCAATGAAAATAAGATTGCAATTTATCTTGGCTAAAGAAATGACAGAGGTGTTTTTCATTGACGAACAAAATGAAAATCTCCCAAGAGATGGCTGCTACTGAGAGACAACATATTTGTATCTGCTATATCTGCTTTGGTGGAAAAGCTGGACACAGATCATCCAACTCATTTTGACTACTTATTCTTAGAAGAACTGCAGTTATTGATAGTTAGATATTTGATTATTTACTTAACATATCTAAGACTTCCTAAACCTTATCATCTTCTGAATAAATACAGGCAAAAGACAAAATCATTTTCACTACTGTATTTTTGTACTTTCCCCCCTTTCTTTTTAGTAAGGTTTTCCATCCATTTTCTGCCTCCTTTATGAACAAGAACCCGAGATAGAACTCCTTTACTTGGGGCAACAACTTACTCCCAACTCAGAGGGAGCAATCCACCGTTTTGTGGCTGAGAACAATTGCCTCAGACCTGGAGGTGCTATGGTCTGATAAAATCAACAGAACCACAATATCTGCAAAGAGCAGAGTAGGAATTGAGATCCCCAAACCAGACACTCTCCTTCCCCTGGCTGTGCCTGGAGAATCCTGTCCATGAATGTCACAAACAGAATTGGTAAAAAGGGACAAACCCTAGTGGAGTCCAACACCCACTGAAGTTGTTTGTCTTCATGCTGAGAATAAGGACAGCCCTCACTCCAGTTATAGGACCGGGTGGCTTGTAGCAACCTCCCCGGCATCCCATGGGACAGGGTTGTAAGCCTTCTCCAAGTCCTTAAAGCACACATAGACCGGATGGGCAAACTCCCAGGACCCCTCTAGTAACCTTTTTAGAATAAAGAACTGGACCACTGTTCTATGACCAGATGGAATTCGCTTTGCTCTTTCTGGATCTGAGGTTCAACATTTGGTTGGAGTCTCCTTTTCAGCACCCTGCCATAAGCTTTACCAGGGAGGCTGAGCAGTGTGATACCTCCAATAACTGGAGCTCACTCTGCAGTCCTCCTTTTTAAAAATGGGAACCACCACCCCTGTCTGCCACTCCACAGACACTGTCCCTGACCTCCATGCAACATCGGAGAGGTGTGTCTGCCAAGACAGCCCGCACTGGAGGGTTTGAACATGGCCCATTTGGATTCCTTGTCCCCATCCTCCCCCGGGATGCATGAAAAATGAAAAAGTTAAAGATATCACTGACAAGCGCCTCAACCAGGTCTGCTTCATTACACATTTGGGTTTACCTGGTCGGACAGTCTCCCATGCCATTTGATCCAACTCGCCACTAGTTGATGAGTTGACAGCTCGTCTCCTCTCTTTACCCGAGTGTCCAGGACGTGCAACCGCATGGGGCTGAAACGACTTATCAATTAATTCAATTACTAAAAAGCACACAAATTCTTTGCATCGATGCTTTGTTTAATCCATATAATTATATGGCGCTTCGGACGGACAATTATTACTGTTACAATTATTGATGTTGTGCACATCGCACTTACACTGTGAACACGATGTGATTATGATGCCGCTGTTTGCAAAGTGGAGGAAGAGAGAAAATAGAGAGGGACGAACAAGAAAGTGTTCAAAGTATGGGATTATTTCAAGCTAAAAGAAAACAACAAGTCTGTAATGTTACAGTCTGTCCACCGTAAAACAAAACTACCGTAGTTCACCGCAACAGCGCGACAGAAATGCTTCAGCATCCGCTCAGAAAGCTCCCGGTCTGGCATCAAGTCCACAGAGTGGACCACAAACAAGGTGCCAACTTTAGCATTTAACTGAAATCATGAGTTGAAGGCTAAACAAAGTAAGCTGCAATTCTCAGCTGTATATGTATAAACGTGCGTTTGTTGTTAATGTTCTCCACCTGGTTGGGCCGTGAGTTTGTGTTGTAACGTCACAGTCATGAGTTGCACAACTGGTACCGTAACAATCTGTAAAATACTCGATTACTAAAGTAATCGTTAGCTGCAGCCTTACAACCGCAGATCTGATGATAACCACCACAAAGTCGATCATCAAACGTTGGCGCAAGGTGTTCTGGTATAAAGTTTACTTATAAATCACCAGATGCTCGAACATGGTGTTTGTAGTTTGTTTATGGCCAGTCCATGGCTAGGACAGAAGTCTAGAAGCAGAGCAGTAGAGATTTGTAGCCCGATTTGCCGCTCGGCGACCATCAGGCTGTGATCGGGAGTAAATCAGCGGGTGATCGGCGGTCGGCAGTCGTTATGTGTGAACTACACAACGACTCATCAAAACGGCTCCCAGACGCATTTCTGACTCATCGCCGACGTCTGCCAGATATCTATCATGCCAAATATCTGGAGGAGCCGGCCGACTCGACATCCACATCCAGCCAATGAGAGCAGGCAGCTACTTTTTCACCGCAAAACACTTTTTACTCACCTCCAGCTCTCTCTGTAGCTCAGACAATCCCAGCTACCTGCCTGTGCCAATTCATTCTTTCACCCAGAATCTTTGTCTTTATAATTGCTATCTTGACAATAACAAAACGCTGTTTTGTCTGTAGGTTCGCTTCCCGTTTCACATTTCAGGTGTGTTTTCTTGACAAAACGTGATTTAAAGACCTGCGTCGGGTGACAGAGCCGCTGTCAGCTCGTGTAGTGTGTGATCCCCTGTCACCGAGTCACGTAGTATGAACAGTTTCAAGACCCCCATCACAAGACGGCAAGTTGTTTAGTGAGAACGGCACGTCCATCGCCCGATGCTGAAAGTCGTGTAGTTTGCACGAGCCTTAAGAAGCCTGGATACACATGCATAGACATAAACAACAGTCAGTGCCTTTCTCTCAGCGAATCGTTGTCCCATGGAGGTGACTCTCTCGTTCTCTGGGGATAACTCCAACGCAGCAGCACTCAACTGGGGGTCCATGAATATCCCCATACCAGCCCAGCTCCTTTCACCCTGGGCTACATCTAGTTGGTCTGAAGAAGAGCGGTACCTTTAAACACAACTGCTGAATCTGCTGATAAATTACACTTAAGAGAGCTACAGCGTGCGGACCCTTTTTCATCTACATTAAGTTGCCCTACAAATTCACTTAACCTGAGATGGAACTATGTTATCATGGCAGCTTCATCGTATTCCTGCTAGTGAGAAATCTCTCAGTTGAAAAGATCAGGGATGAGAAACTGACAAACTGTTAGGTAATCCTCCTTCTCTTTCATTGTTTATATTTAGTCTCCCCATCTTGGAAAAAAGTGGGACCTTTGACCTGACCTCAGCCTTCTCCTCTCACATACAGTACACACAGTCCCAAGTTTCTAATAATATTGTTGCAGTGGATGTTTTCATGTGTCCACATATGTTTCTGGGTTGTTTTTGCATGTAAGTGTAAGTGCATTTATGTATGCTTAAGCTTGCTTTGTATACAGTAAGTATGGATGGATTACTCACATCAAGGAACTCTGAACTAATTTTTGTTTTTTGTTTTTTAAACTAGCAATTTATAGATGTGACGTTGGGTTCTGTGAACTTGTAATGGAAAGGTTTCACTATTTTCTGACAACGTAAGATGCAACCCTAGAACTGAGCTCGTCTAATGTTTTACAGAGACATACTCGCAAACACATGTGAACCAGTGATCATGTCGTCGCCCCTCCACCCACTCTGTCCGGTTGGTTTGTGCTCTTAAGTAATACTAATGACTCTCTGGTCCCTCACTAACACACTGCACCACCAAAAGCCTCATTAAAGGTGGAACTCAGCCAAACAAGCTCCTCTTCACTTTGCATAAATTAGCTCAGACGCAATGTATCACTGCCAGACTGCGACCTCACACACACACACACACACACACACACACACACACACTCTGTAGACGCACCTTCATCCATCCCTGTTGTCCCGTTCTCTTCCTCATTTACTCATCAGCTGAGATGTCATCACTCAGCGTTTCAGCAGGATACAACACACACTAGATCAGTCAGTTGCACATGAGTGAGCACACGCTCACACATTGTCTTTGCATCATTTCGTTTCTGCCAATACTCTTCTTTCATTATAATTCCCTGTTTTGTTTTTTTTTCCCCCCACAGAGAAAAAAATGCAGATCAAGCCTCGGCTGTGAGACTACAGAAACCAGCAGCACTGGAGGTGAAAACACTTATCAATGATTTTCTGTCCCGACAGGTGTGTCTGTGTCTCTTCCCTCTGAATTTCTTGACTCAGGGCCAGAAAGTTTTATCTTCTATATCTAGAAATCCGTTTTACATATCAATTTGGGTGTTTACAATACAGATTTTCTCATCAGGTTTTGTACATTTTAAAAAGACAAATAAAACATCAACTCTTACTGTGTTTTGTTTCACAGACTCTTTTTGACATGTGATGTCAGTGCTGTGAGAGTGTTTATTGGCTGTGAGTGTGTTTTCTGTTTGAGAGCAGCGGTGTTGTCACATGACCCGGGCGTGTTTGCGAGAGTTTTCATTGGGAAGGTGGTGACAGAAGCAGCAGTGCCCCTCACTTTAAGGCCTGGAGACGAGACACATGAGTGGACAGTGACTTCATCATCACCATGCTGTGAGCGTGTGGTGTGTGGAGATTTCCCAAATAGGCCTGCATGTTTGTATTAACATGTCTCCGTCTATTAGATTAGTAAAAACATTTGTGACTCCCTCAATTGTCACACACAAATCAAATTTCACACTGAGCTGTTTTTAAAAAAAGACAAGGACAAGCAGCTCTTCATTCGGGGGGGGGGGGACTGAGATCACACATCACTCTGGACGGGATTTAAATTACAGGAGGACCAGTGAGTTTCCCAAAAAACAGTGGGTAATTGCGGATTATGGGTGACAAATGATCAACATTAAAATCACTGAACAGTGCAAGTAATGTGTTAAAATCACCTCACCTCCCCTAGAGAAAAAACCCAGTGCGAGCTGGGCTTGAGACGTCATTTGACTTCCTAAAACTGATGCTTTTTTTTTTTAACACTCTTCAGTGTGTGAGTGTATTGAGATAAAAAAAAAAAAAACAGGGACAACCATCCCTTGTTAGGCCACATCCCTGTTAAAGACATGAGTTTCAGATGTTAATGTGGTGTAAACCAAGACGAAAGCGGGAATCCACAATTTTCTTTTTGCCAACCTAAAAAGGAGGTAATATTATAGATTTTACTGTTTTCATAATTTTATGACCTTGGAAATTGTTGTTTGACAAAATAATCAGAACTCAAGGTCAGTGTACTGGATTTTCTATTGTTTTGGGGTTTTACTGTAGAGAGTAAACTTATCAGTTGAACCGTATGAGATGTAAAAGTGTCTTTTTAAAAGATTAATCACATCATGGCTTTAGAACTTTATCTTCAATCCTCTCCACGATTTACCTCGATCCTCCTTTTGTCTTTATTACTTTCCTGCCATTAATTGCTCATTTTTGTTTGTAAGTGATGTAAATGGTTGTCTGGCAACACATTGGGACAGAGAGGATGCTGGGACAAGTAACTCCTCTACAGACTTCTGCTAATTAAACGTGTGTGTGTGTGAGAGAGAGAGTACGGAACCACATATGTACAATATTACCACTATCTAATTGAGGCGTTGTCATGGCAATAAGCAGCGTGACAGTCGCTGGAGCAAAATGACATCAATACACGGCTAGGAGGACACAATTCACACAAAAACAAATCACTGTGTGCTGGAGCTATTTCTTCAACCAGTTCGTCTGCTTTTCAGCGGTATTGCCAAATGCGTTCGGTGAAGTTTTGGTCTTTGTATCGCCAACAGTACCTGGCAACTTCACAATGACCACATGACTATACACAGCTGATTTTTGTCCTGTTTCCCCACTCCCCCTGAAACTGCAGATTATTGGTGGTCAGGGTAAATTTTCTGACTTTTTACAGAGCCAGGCTACATGCTTGCCCAGTCTTTATACTGAGCTAGATTACTCATGCCCTGACCACAGCTCTGTACTAAATGCACAGACATCAGATTGATATACAGTATTCTACAAAAGTGGGTACACCCCTCACATTTGTGTTTAATATCTTTTCATTTGACAGCACTGAAGAAATGACACTTTGCTAGTGAGTGTATATCTGTGTAACAGTGTAAATTTGCTGTCCCCTCAAAATAACACATCACACAGCCATTAATGTGTAAACCACTGGTTTGGACATTTTCACTTAGGGGTGTCCTCACTTTTGTTGCCAGCGGTTTAGACATTAATGGTTGTGTGATGTGTCATTTTGAGGGGACAGCAGATTTACACTGTTCTACAAGTTGTACACTCACTATACTGCACATCTTATGTCTGTGCTGCATGATCACCTACACTGACACAAGATAAGCGATCACATAGGCAGAGGTGATAAAGCTGACTAATAGACTGAACTGACAGCCCCCCCCCCCCCCAAAAAACCCAGTTTCCTAATTCACACTACAGTATGGAACAGATGATTTTGGAAGTAGTACCTTGTACAGCAACTTGGAAAACTTGAGTTCATGTACAGATTCTCACATACTGCCGTTTAAACTGTGGTGAATACATTTTGTCAAGATAGATATTTGAAGTGTGTGTGTGTGTGTGTGTTCAACTCGATTTTCTCTCCGATGTATTGACAGCAGCGAGCGGAGATGGAGAGCTCGACATGTTTCTCAGAAAAGGCAGGAGACAGGGAGCCATCACTCTTCTCCTCTCACCGCACGTTTTTTTTTCCCCCCTTCCTCCTCCTCCTCCTCCTCACCCACGTTGCTTCTCTCCTGCGTTGAAGGCGTAAGTGCCTTAGACAGATGTCTGCTGCCTCTTGTCTAAAAACCCTCAACGCGAGCTGCTGAGCTCGGCAAACTCTAATTAAGATCAATATTTCAATTTTTAGTAAAAGCGCAGAAGACGGAGAGAAGACACGGAGAGAAATTATCTGTCCACGTAGACTGAGAGACAAAAAGAAAGGTCAACTGTGATTCTTCATCGTGTGTGTGTGAGGATGTGAGTGTTGGAGAGACTTGATAAGCACTGGTTTGTGAAAGTGTGTGGGGTACATCTGTTCAAAAGGCTTCTCCATTTATGCTTTACTTCCAGTTATTTCCAAAGTTTTGGTCATCATTCTTATTGGGTTTAACATATGTACTGTCTGTCTGTCTGTCTGTCTGTGAATGCGGAAAGCTGTCCATGGCTGGCAATGCAAACTAAAGAGAAACAAGTCCAACAGATGTTAGATAACATGCAAGACAAACAAACACATATTGCAAGAATACATTAGAGTAGCTTAGAACCAGCCTAGCTACTAAGACTAAAACTAATTAATAAATACAACTGATCACTTAATAAAAATAGATTCATAAGCAGTGCCCTGAGGAATAAGCCCAATAAAACAATTAATACATATAAAGCAAAACCTTTACTGTTCTTATGTGTGCATAAAAAGTCCTAAAATGTTTTGTGGAGCTTCTAAACATCTGAGACCAGTCACTTTTAAAACTACTAAAGACACAATACAGTTTGAACTTTCCTCCTGGCTCTTTCCCCTATGTATTTATCCTTTTCCTCTCATTTACATGTGCGTGAAACAATCCACTGGCCACAGATCTGTGATAGAAAACCTCTTTTTTACTGAAGCTTAAGGATTTCAGTCTTTTGAGGAAAAACGACACGGGTTGTGGCTTTTTAAACAGCATTAGCATTTTCTGACCAGACCAATGTCAATAACCTTGCACCAGCAGCCAATTGTAGCTGAGATCTGAGGACATTGTGACGTCACAAGAGTCTGTCAGAAGATATGGGACAGATCGTAAACAAGCCTCCAAAGAAAAAGATGGTGAGTTGTAAAATGATTACACAAACTGTTATCTTTTATATAATCTATCTCGCTATACAGACTGACTGAGTGGTTCAACTTTGGCCTAATGTGCTTGCTGTAAATGTGTGCACACCGGGTTTCTAGCTGCAAACCATACGGCTGGCTTTTTTTATAACCTGTGATCGTCTGACTTCTAATGTTTCTTCCCCCCATCTGACTTCAGCAAGACCGCAACACCTTATGAATGATGGCCTGATAGTAGTTATGAGTTGAGCGTGACAACTCATCTGACAGAGTTTTTTTTTTTTTCCAGTCTGGGTCAGTTGGTGTTGACTGTCGGGAGATGAAATCATACAGTGTTGAAGGATTCTGCTTGTTTGTCTTCTCATCGGGGGCAGAGCGAGACTCACTTCAGGCCCGGCAGTCAAACAAAGTACAGCAGCCAGTGGGAGACATTACACAATGAACTGATAAGTGACGATTAAAAGAATGATTTCTAGTTTCTGAAAAATTAACTGTGAACTTGTAACTGATCTTTAACGTCAGTGGCTTTATCCTTAAGACAGTCTTGACGAATAGCAAGTTATTTTTCCATTTTGAATCTATTTTCTTTCTTCTCTTATTATCTATTTTATTTTTATTGGTGCTGCTGGTTCCCTTCCATATTTTCCCTTCATCTTCAACACAGCGTTAGTTCTGTTAACATCGGCCTGTAATTGTACCGGCCCACCAACATTTCTCTTGAACCTCCTGATTACCACACCACCCATTAAGGCTAGGGGAGGCCTGAAGGGAGGGGGTGTGATTTATTTTGTTTGATACGCTCAAAATCTAGCTGTCTCTTCTCCAACGTTGCCTACTCCAGCTTTAACATTACTTTGAACATGTTTGATATTTATGACTAGAATTAAGACCTTTAACATCGCATATAAAACCAAAACTGACCAACGGGTTAGCAAATGGTAAAAATGCTGCACTGCAGGTGAGAGAGGGGAGGATTATTGTATAACTTTCACTTTCAGTTCAGAACCACAGTTCACACTGCGTCCTCTCTGCTCAAGCTCTCTGCAGTTTTCCTCTCCATCCACCATCTCATCTAAATTTAGCATGTTTCCTCTGTGTCGTTCCCGTTTCTGAGTGGACTGCAGGATAAATGAGCAGTTCTTTTGATGATTGATCTCTTTTGTTTCTGTGTTCTCGCAGTTTGAAGGGTCATCACCTATGAAACACCCAGAGTGTTGTTTTGTCTTTACTCAGTTGTTAAGTGCGAGTTCCTTTCTGACAGTCAAGACTAAAAAAAATGTGTCTATGATGGTGGAAACAGTCATCATGTGTGGTTTGTCCTGCATTTGAAGTTTTCATTTAGCGATGTCGCCCCGTTCCCAGATCTCAGCAGTTCCTTTGGTGAGTACGGTTTTATCACCAAAAGAAATGACTGTCAAAACTTCAGAAGTAACACCAATGGTGTGATAAGTTATCCTTTCATTTCTAATTTACCTCCTTTCAGCGCAGATTCTGTGTTGTCACGTGTGGTGCCTCTTTGAGACCACAAACC